AAAAAAAAAAAAAAAAAAAAAAAGAAGAGAGAGAGAGAGATACCTACTATGTGCGGAGTGCTATACATCAATACTATTCACACATCCCTGCCAGGGGAGAAGTAATTTTAAAAATTAAGTAAACCATTCAATTTCCTCTTTCTATGACCAGTGCCCATATAAGTACATACTATACACAAGGCAAATAAATATATATTGAATGAAGAAACAGCAAATACAGAGTCACCTACAGTAAGTGGTCAAGATAGGGCTGGAATTTATCTCACTACAGAGATGAAGTTATCTTCCTGATAGAAATGTATATTTAAAAAATGTATATATAAATATATATATACAATGGTTATACAATTATGTATACATGTGTATACATGTCTTTTAAAAAGCATATTACTATGAAGGTTTAAAGATCCAAATTTATTATGAGACTCCACTTCAACTTTGGAGATGGAACTTTAACTGTGTAAAAAAATAAGTACATCAGACCCACTTTGAATGGGTTCCAAAAGTGGACCCGTTCTGTTCTAAACTTAGAGTCATATAACAGAACCATAACATTTTACAGTCTAAACTAGGGAGCTACAAGTAATTCAAATTAGAAACAACTAAGCAGGTAGCCTAACTAACAAGCTGCTGAAGGTAAAATTCTAAGATAAATTTTAAAAAACATTTACCTTTTGACAAGTACTGTCTAAGTCCACAAAATGGTCTAATTTTCTTGAACTTTCCAGGTAAAAGAAATTAACTTCTTCAAAGTAAAACTCAGAGAAATTAGCTTCCTTAAAGTAAAACTTATAACTTTAAACATTTTTGAAAGAAGTCCTTCGAAATACATAGAATTCCAAAGTTAATCCACAGGATACGAAACATTTCCTTTCGACTACGTTATTATCAGAAATCTTCTAAGCACAGCATTGCTTAAATAATCACAAATATCCCCCTATTCCCAAGTACTCAGCAATGGTTTCTGTCTGCAAGTTAAGCTCAATACTTAAGTGACAGAACAGGATTATACAAAGGAACAAAAGGACAGACAGACTGACAGACTGATGGAAGGAAGGGAGGAAGGGAGGGAAGAAGATGGTTAACTCGACCAAAAGTTATAAAATTTTTTTTTAAGTCAAAAATTGCTGTCTGGTAAACCAACAAGTTCATCTTGTCCCACTTAGAGGCAAAATGTAAGTACAGAAGTCTGATGCTAATAAGCATCTGCTGTGAGGGTTATTACGTGGGGGGAAAAGGTTTCTGTGTCACTCCTATTTGGGAAACACCGGGTTAATCTGAGTTCAACAGATTTTTTAGGAAAGACTCTTGTCATTAGCATGTCCATATGCCCTGCGACTCTCCAAGAGAAGGGCCCTGTGTAGCACTTCCTCTTCCTTTTGCAAAGTACCTTTATGAGTTGCCAAGTCCATGGGACACACTTTTGAAAACAATGCCTTAAAAACATTCAAAATACAAAATGGAATTCCCTTATTGTGACTCCATCCTCACCACACAAATATTTGAGAACCTGGCTTCATATATTTTCCTACCCAACAGCAATGTGCACATTCTAAGAAGCACACAATCAGGAATCCACCAGATAGCATTGTTTTGCATTGTTGATTAACATATTAGCATGTGAATATATAAATCTGGGGATTTAGTAAGCAAGAGTAAGCTCAAACCCACTAGCCCCCCAAAAAATCACTCTCACAAAAAGGTGAAGCCCTACCAAGTTATAATACCTGAATCCTCAAAGACAAATTTCTTGTTAGGATATATTCATCAAGGTAGTGCCACACTGCAGAATCTAACAGTCGTTGATAAATTCATTTGTATTGGTTATATCCCTAGCTCACCATTAATCTTTTGTTCAAACCAGTACAAAAAATTATCAAATGCCATATTATAGGACATCATGCCTCATAATATCTCATGCCATAATCATCCTCATGGACTAGAATAAATATATTTAGATCCATATACCTATGCTAGGCAGTAACAATCAGCTGGCTTTTGATAGGTCTATTTGCTATTTTAATTTAATTTTGTCTTCTTAGTCACCATTAGGCTGTCACTATTAGCATTGTCTAATACCTCTTACCACTCCCTCTTACTCATCTGTTGCTTCAAATTTATTTCCCAAAGTATAACTAGGCTTGTCAAATGCAACTGTGAGGTAAATTAGGCTTTCTTCATCTCTGAGTGCTTCATCTATCTCATTTCAGTCGCAGAATAAGCTTAAGAAAACTAAATCTCTTTGACGCTGTGTTGTTATCTACCTCATGATTCTAAAAATCATGATAATAAACTCTGACACTGCCAATGTCATCTTTAGCCTGCTCCTCATTAAATACAAACTAGGAAGTATGCTAAAGCTAGTGAGTGAAAGTATGCTTTGCTGTTTACAGAGTCTGAAGTAACTCCCTATGTGATACTTTATTAAGGACAAAAGGAAAAACAGAAAATCTACAGTGCAGAAACGCCAGAGACACTGTCTTAACCAAGCCAGCATCACCAATAACGGGATAAAGTGACAGACACTTCATGCTGCCAACATGGTGCTCATAGATGAACAGAGTCATTTCTGTCGTATTCCTGCCCAGAATGCAAAGACTGACTCTAGTACACAAGAAAAGAGGCAAACTAAAATGAGTGACATTTTATAAAATAAATGGTTTATGCTCTTAAAAAAAGTTAAGATCACAACTCACCAAAAGCCTAATTCTCTCCAGATTGAGAGAGAATAGAGATATAACAACTAAATGCTATGTAGGATGCTGAGCCAGATTTTTTTTTTCTTTTACCACAAAAGGCATTAATGAGGCAACAGGAGAAATTTGAATATTGTCCTAAATTAGAAGATAGTAATATGTTAATATTCAAATCCTGGTTTTGATTATGGTGCTAGAGTTACATAAGAAAATGTACTTGTTTTTAGGAAGTACAGACATATTTAGGAGTAAAGAGGCACCAGGTCTGAAATACTCTGAAAGGTTTCTAGTAAATACAGATATAGATAGAAAGATAAAGCTAATGTGGTAAATATGAGCAAAGTATATTCAGAAATGACCTGTAATATTTTTTACAACTTTTCTGTGAGTCTGAAATACTTTCAAAATTTAAAGTTAGGAAAAATATGGCAGAGTGGTGGCTCACCCCTATGATCCCAGCATTCTGGGAGGACAACGCAGGTAGATCTCTTGAACCCAGGAGTCTGAGAGTTGCCCAGTTGACTGGGCAACACAGCAAAACCCTGTCTCTATTTAAAACATACACACACACACACACACACAC